TTTCCATAGTTTGACTCTCGAGCTACTTTATGGTCTTTTGATGTGGAGCAGTAAACTTTGAATAGCTTGTTGTGGTCGTATATACAGTAGATGAAAGGTGCGGCAGCAGCTGCAAATTCTATTTGGCGATGTTCTTAAAAAACAAACCCATTGGGATTTGTTTGTCAGAGATCTATATGGGCTTCTTTTGTGTGGCACAGTTAAAACCCTGGCTCTTGACGTGTGTTTTCTGCCGAGGAAATACCCCACTGCTCGTGCGCCAGACCTCCGGCGGTACCGCACAGCTACAGAGGCGGCCCGACACTGGGGATGGAAACACGGCTCCGGTGAAAGCCGCAAGCCCAGACGCTGTTGACCGACACGTTGCCTCTCAAGAGCACGGAAGAAAGGGTCTTTCATCCGATTAGCTATGTGTCGATGATACAACAGCTGCGAGGGGTCAATCTGTCTCGACAAAGCAAAGCTGACCGCTATAACCGTGTCACACTGCATCATATCGCGCATCTGTCAAGCGCCGTGCCGCGAAACCTGAGCTGATCACTTACAAGAGGGACTTCACTTGCGAGATGAATTCACATGTTAACAAGTGAGAGGTCTGAGAATATTTTAGATTCTGATGGGAGTGGAGTTACCCGTTTTATGACATGATTTTAGGATATTGTTGTTTTTTTTCCTCCCTGCACATTTTCAGCTGATGTTTTTGAAACCCCAAAACACACAAACAAAACTGAACAAAACACATTGTCCGTTCTGAATGATTTAAGGACTGACTTGGAAACAGTCACAAGAAGGACTCATGCCATATCACCTGACTTCTTTCATTTCCATGCGTATGTGGAATTTTCAGAGCACAAGAAGAACCTTTCAGAGCCATTTTTTAGGTGTCTATATTTTTTGTGTTTGTTTTTATTTTTAATATTATTTTTTTAATGTATTTTGTTTTATATGTTTGTTTTTTAGGTGTGTATATTTTTATGTATATATTATGCATATATACAATATTAAATGCAACGTGTGAGGCAGACAAACTAACCGCTGTCGCAATGCCGCCAAGGAAAATCAAAATTTCATTCCTCCGAGTAGCTTTTAATTACGGTATGTGGAGCAGAATATTGTTTTTCCTCTTGTTCTGTTGTCATATCTGCCAGGAAACCGAGGCGATGCCGAGGTGAGCCAAGGTAATAGTCAAAGGCATTAGGGGATGGGAGACTTGTGTTGCTTGGGCAAAAGATCATCCGTCTTTTCCCATTTTTCCAACGTTAGCGGCCAAACTGTTGAAAGTCATTTCCTGTTGGTTTGTACCCGATAAGAATAAGAAGTAAGTGAGTCTAGACCTGCCAGAGTTCATTGTTTCACGGTCACGAGTGTTAAGTTGCACCCTTTCCGACTTTACAGAGCAACAAGAGGCATACACTCTGTATTTTGGCATTTATGTATGTCACATTTGGTTAGTTAGGGCAGCGGTCCCCAACCTTTTTTGCCTGGTTTAACGTCAGACAATATTTTCAGGGACCGGCCTTTAAGGTGTGATGGATAAATAGAACAAAATAATATGATTTGACCCGCATGAAAACTGTGGTATTTTCGAAACATAATAATAAGCACGAATCATGACACGAGGAAGCTCCTATCTGGCCGCAACACTCTCTGGTCGCTATAGTCACATTTAGATATGCCTTCAAAATAAGATACACCAGAAATTCTAAGTGCATGAAAATTACGACGCACCGTCGCCGCCTATTACGCAGAGTGGGCTTGGTGCGTGGGAATCTCTCGTTGCGATAAAGCCGTATTTTAAGTAGGACTCCTGATACGGTCTATTAAATGAACGTTGTCGGCTCATCTTCTGTCTGCTGGCTAGACTTTTTCCCCTTCCCAAAGAAACCTTCCAAAGACGTTTTTTTTTTTTTTTTTTACTCATTTTGCTAGCTCCGAGGTTTCATTTTAGCGGTAACCGATTATGTGACCGAGAAGCGCTCCTTGACCTATGTCAAGAGTGACAGACTGTAGACGGATGTTACAGAGAATCTGCTAACTTTTCAAAATAAAATATATTTCAAATTCCAAAATAAATAAAACGAAAGTAATGTTAGTCCTTCATTCTTTTGTGCGGCTCGGTACCAAATACCCCCACGGACCGGTACCGGTCCTTGGCCTGGGGGTTGGGGACCCCTGAGATAGGGTATCCGAGGCTCTGGTTTTGGCAGGTTTCGAACCTGAAATTTATTTTTTCTCAACGCAAGGAGTGTTGTTAAAGTGGTTAAAACAATTCCACTTCTAGTTGTCAACTCTTGATATTTCTCTTTGTCGGGGGTTTCTTCTCTTGGGGTACATGTCGATTGTTTCAGAGGTGGAAAGACAAACAAACGTTTGGCCCGCAAGTTCCATGTGACTCTTACATAAGCTCCAATGATGTTCTTCTTTGCCACGACGAAAATAAGGCAGATGAAGATGGCCGAGCCCAACATGCTGACGGCACACACAAGGGGGTCGGCACGCTCTGTCTTCTTCCGGCACAGGCGCGTGGTGGCTGCCCCGATGAGCACCCCCAACAGGCCTGTGATGCACGTGATTGCCCCGAAGACAAAACTGGATGAGAGGAGAAGAAGAGGCGGGAGGGGGACAAAAAAATACATATATTAGCGTTGCTGTCGTATTCTGGGACAAAGTTTGAATTGAGCATTTCGACATTTATGTTTCACCTCTCTGTGCTGCTGCAAATCTCTTCGTTGTCGCACGGCTCTGCAATCGCAGTCTTCTGCACCACCTGAGCTCTGGCAAGGTAGATGGGAATCCAGATCCCGAACGCGCCCGTAGCGAAGGAAACGGCGGCAGATGCCAGGGATGAGAACACGTAACTCCGACTTGACATGGAAAAAACACACACACACACACACATACACACACACACACACACACACACACACACACACACACACACACACACACACACACATAATATTGGTTTAGGGCGGAGTTGTCAAACTAATTATCGTCACAAGCCACATTGCAGTTATGGTGGGACCACGATGACTATAAAAATCATCAAAATCACGTCTAATATGATTTCATTATACACAACGGCCACTGCAATGATCGTTACACTCGATATATTTTTAATAACACATTGATTAAATTTGAACCCTTTCATGCACCCTGTAACCAGACTACATGATCAGCAGTCCACGGCAGTAAACGCTGTCCCTGAAAGGGTTAACGGTGAAACTCACATGACATTTGGTTATATTTTTTTTCATGAGAGGGATGGTTTCGGGGATGAAAGGAATCTGCCGAACGCCAACAATAATGTATGTTAAGTGTTCAATTGCGGAATGACTCAAGACAACTACAGTGATCCCTCACTTATCGCGGTTAATGCGGACCGAGACCACCCGCGAAAGAGGAAAATCCGTGAAGTAGAAACCCCCCCTCCCCCTCCGTACAGGTATATGTACATGTGTATAAGTATATATGATATTTATAAGGCCAAATTTAATGGTATACATGTTAGGTTAGTGTATATAACAAAATACAGTAAACATAAAGATGAAATGTACATGTAGTACTGTATATGTTGCTCTATGTGACTCGCTGTTGTTTTGCTGACGTTCGCTGCCTCTCGCGGACCTTTTGCGGCATTTTTGCTCTTTTTAATTTTTTTATGGATACTTTTGAAAAATCTGCGATGCACTGAAAGTTAACCGCGAAGTAGCGAGGGATCACTGCAGTTTGATCAAGCACTTTAACTCTTCATGACAAAGTAGCATCACCAAGTACGGGCTTGGAATCCATAAAACAGCCTTTTGGTTGTTTCAATTAAAAATTTGTCTGTTTGTTCAAGATTGTTGTCATGCAAACAAACAGCTCCTGTGCTAAGTGGTAATAAAATGAAACGCGGCTTGACTTGACAGTTTTATGTTGGGAGACAAAAATAACACACAATTAAAACAGCTTTCCAGAGTGACTGAATGTAGAAGATTGTGTTGGCCGACACTCACACTGTCGCTCCTGCGATCAAGAATATGGCGCCTCACCTAGAATATACTTCGCAATAAACCCCCGTCGCCAAGTGAACTTTATGTCGCTGAAAAAGCTATTTTAAGAAATGTGCCCACCAAAGGTCATACCATGACAAAAGTGCACACTGTCACACATCCAAAGCTGCCTTCACTCACAGTCGAGCAGTGTTACCGAGTGGCGGCGAGTGATTGACAAAGACTCACTGTGTCTGCTGTTGACATTTCCATGACTCTTAATGGATTCTGCAGGTTAGCCATGCAAGAATGTATATTTTCATCAACAAAATAAAACCACCAGCACGCATCCATCAGATCTGCCTGTCTTTCCGTGCCGATGCTTCTCGGAAGCGTTGACGGAGAGGCACGATTGGGATGCGAAGCGCGGATGTCATTCCCGATCGGACGTCTTACTTCTTAGCGAGAGTCTTCATGTCACACAGCCAGGACGTGCGGGTCTTGATGCGTCCCCCCATCTGGTCGGCACTCCCTCGCTTTGGCTCGGGCACAAAGAGCAGGATTAGGGCTGCTGCAGTCATCCCCAAAACTGGAGACACCTGTGGGAACGGTCGTATAAAAAGGCCTGGCGTCATATTGGAATCAAAGCTGAAGGCAGGATAGTTTGGATGAGTACACATCAGTGGAAAGGACAAGGAACGGTGTGTTTTAAAAAAGTGAATGGATGGCCGCTGTGTTTGCTGATACGCTTGACATCCAAACTTTGAACACACGCTGCTTTCTCCACTGGTGCTGTCCTTGTGTTTGTGCAAGTTACTATACTCACTGTATCAACCGACCCCAACTATATTAATACCGTAAAATATTCGAGGAATATTTACCCAATCGTTTGTGCACATGAATTTGTCATTAGAATTGACACTGTCACACTGTTTCATTTCAGATTCAAACCGACCCATTATATATCTCCCGGGTCATGTATTTTCATACCGTTGTGTTTTCACGACATTGAACGTTACTTAACCCTTTCAAGCACCCTGTAACCTGATAACATGGTAAGCTGTCCACTGTAGTAACCGCTGTCCCTGAAACGGTTAAATTAAATGCACGTGGAATTAATGTGTTCATTTGTTTTGTAATTGTGTTTATTTTTACCTGACGACAGTAATTGGCCTTATTTTATTGACAGCAGACTACCGTACTTGTATAACACAAATTAATTTTTAATCACATCCAGATATAATGCATACCTGTCAACTTGTACGTTTTCCCCGTATTTTGTACGTTTTTTTTTTATCATTTCAAATCATGTACGGCGTATTACAACTTTTATACGGGGAAAAAAAAAGAAACAATTGTGAACCGATCTCACAAAGTCCATCTTGGCTCAAATCTAGATCGTCTCACCTACTGGTAGCCAACGACAATGCCGTCGTCGATCGCTACGATTGTCATGGCAAACCAGCAAAAGTAATCCTCAATCGTATATTTTTTTTCATCGCTCCCTACGGTCGGATTGATAAAGCACGATGTGCGCATGCGCGGTAAACCGTTGTACGGGTTTTTGTTGCTTTGAAAGGGGAATCGTAATCATTTATAAGGGCAGCTATTAGCTGAGGTTGAAAGGTATGTTAATGGAGCATAGTCTGCCGTTATATTCATCTATTATGACGAAGCAGAAAGGCCGATGATACAAAAAAACACCAGGAAATTTTCTTCATATCACCTAAGTAGCTTATGAAACTGCTTCACAGGCATAAATGGTGCGGTGTGAAAAAGTGAGCGCTTTGAGGCTCATACGTGCGGGTTATGTGAGCGTCTCCGAGCCGGATGTGGGTGATGTGGTTTGTTTTGCAGATAGCTGTGGTCTCTGAGGGTGTGAGGATTACACACATCGATCACTTCCTTCTTTATAACTTCTTCTCTCCGACATGAATATTAATAACTGAATTTTATAATGTGTTCTCAGAAAAGAGGCATCCGTCTGGACTGTGCTTTTTATTGCAAGGATTTCATTCATTTTCGATTTCATTTGTTTGCTGCATGAGGACACCCTTTGATGCATACTTCGATTTAATACATTTACTTTCTTTTTTAAAATTCCCTTCATAATTATTCAGCGGGGCACACCGTGACTTTTAACCCCTTGACTCCCCCGCAGGGCCCATTAGACACTTCCTGTACGTATGGATGGTTGGCAATCCTCGATACGAGCAACTGCCTTCCACCCCCTGCAACACATTTCTATGACTCTCTTATTTGCCGTCCACCTTTTGGCCAAACAAGGAAGGTTGCAGGAACACGGCGGGCGAAAACAAGCGGAAGCTCGGTCCAGTCATTTCTACTGACAGCAGGATACCGCGACTGAAAACACGTTTCATGCCTTCATATTTGTTTTCCTCCCCGCATGCCGCGCCACTGACTAATTGGCTTTCGGATTGTTCTGTTAGAATGTCACCGTGGCCACGGTGGAACAAAGTGCCCTACTCATTGTATTGTTTTTAAAAGTTCCACCAGGGCCGGTAGGAATTGACTTCCTGTTTCCCTGAAACCGAGCAAAGTACCTGCATGTCACGTCCAGGAATCGAAAGAAATCCTCTGTGACCCGTTGAAGGAATGTTTATTTTCTGCTGTCAAATGTCAGTTGCTTCATTAGAGGAGTCGAGGCCTTACATTGTTTCGGGGTTTTTAAAAAGGTGACCTCGAAAGTCTGCCATGCCCGCGGAATCCTGTTAGATATTTCATAAATTTGCTTCTATGACGACTGCAATGCAACTCAACATCTGCAGTTTGATGCCTCACACTGACTGCAGTTGCAGCCCCCCAAAAAAAGCAGGAAGACGCCAAGTGTTTACACTTGCACTCATCCATATCTCCATAATCTCCAGCAACAACTGTTGTTCCCACAGAGCAGAGAGGATTTATGCCCGTGAGTATTGTGTAGTGTGTGTGTATTCAAGTGGAAGTTGTTTGAAGGTTTATAACGACCGTCACATCTACGCCTCTATTGTGTTTCAAATTATATGTTAGCGTGAAGAAAATGACATGGTTCGGGTGAACAATTTGGTGTTTAAATACATATTGATGAATTTTCTTTTGTTTTATGTGTCGCCCGCATCTATCTATGTATATATGTGAGGTTTTATGTTTCCTAATAAAGTAGTTAAAAAAAAAACATTTAAAGTGTTTAAAGCATAGGGATAGGTTAAAACTGCAGAACAGGATTATATCTTGTTCGTTTGTATTGAATGATCAGAATCAAATGTTTAAGTAAGGAGAGAAATCAATATTATCGGGGACCTAAGGGGTCTGTCCCAAATATATATTTATTAAATTAACTGAGGGCGGCCCGGGGGTCCAGTGGTAAGCGTGTCGACCTGACAGTGCAGAGGTCGTGGGTTCGATTCAGCTCCGGTCTCCCTTTGTGGAGTTTGCATGTTCTCCCAGTGCTTGCGTGGGTTTTCTCCGGGTACTCCGGTGTCCTCCCACATTCCAAAAACATGCATGGCAGGCTGATTGAACACTCAAAATTGGCCCTAGGTGTAAGTGTGGGTGTGGATGGTTGTTTGTCTCTGTGTGCCCTGCGATTGGCTGGCAACCGGTTCAGGGTGTCCCCCGCCTACTGCCCGAAGACAGCTGGGATAGGCACCAGCAACCCCCCGCAACCCTTGTGAGGATAAAGCGGATCAGAAAATGGATGGATGGATAAATTAACTGATGACAAAGTCTGTCTTGCATTGAAACTTAGTACGTTGGAAAAACGATTTGTAATAATTTTTTTTCCAGAACAAAATACTATCTTTCAGGTCCAAATTAAAAAAAAAAAATCACAAGTACATGCTATTTCAAATTACAGTCTGTAACCACGTTTGCTTTCAATCATACTCATTTTCTCCAAGTTTTCTGAAGGATGCTGGAGGCCGTGTCAGTGTTGTGTGTGACTTGTTTAGCCTTTAGCTCTCTTTGCACTGTCACTTCCTTGCAACGTCCACCAGCCTTGTGTGCCCCCCACCCCTCCCCGTGCGTCCGACCCCTCTGAACCCGGATCCATGACGGACCGACCACAATCCCTCAGGAGGGGCTCTAAATCCGTCCTTGTGTGGTTTTGTTTGTGTGTCTAATGTAGCAGTCGATGCCCTTACCCTCAGTGCCCAGTGCCAGTCTCCTGCAGCTACCTTGGCGCTGGTGCCCAGGATGTAACCCAATCCGCTGCAGGAAAACAACACAACTGTCGATTAGCTACACGCCACTGGCACACGGATGTCATTTATATATGAAGTCTATGACTCATTGTACTGAGTTTGCTCACTGTTTGTTTTCCATCCGTAGAACTAAACACATCCTGTTTGCAGCCTGATTAAAGAGTCGACTGTCTGCGCACTCGATGTTGATGACTATGGTACTGACTGAGCTAATTTGAAAACAGTTGCATGTTTGGGTATTGAACTGGCGCAGGGTGTGATGGGAGTAAAAAAAAAAAAAAAAAAAAATTTTAGAGAAAACATATCAGGTCCGCAAAAGTAGCTGTGATAAGCCTATTATGATGAATACAAATCGGCGTCGAATTGACAAAAAAATAATAGCCTGCAAATTCACTGAGGACAAAGGACCAATCTTATCAGAGCGCATGCAGAGCAAGTCTGGAATGTACAACACTGTTAATAAATCTGCACATTAGCGTCAGTTAAACTAGACCCAGGATGAGAGGGTCCACGTAAAAAAAGGTGGAATTAAAAAAAAAAAAAAAAACCTGTGAACTGCATGTAATTCTTGAAGTGATTTCCTTTTAAACACTCACAACAATGTCAGCTATTAACTGCACTTTACTGAGGCCAACCCTTTCACCTTCTATTGTGTGTGTGTGTGTGTGTGTGTGTGTGTGTGTGTGTTGCCGGGCAGTTTAGCAGGACCCGCTAAACACACTGCCCAGAGGTCACTTTAGTTTTCCCTTCTCTATTTACAGTCCAAAAAACATCAGGAGTAATCATAGAATGAAGCTCCCCACAGCCTGTTTTACCATCAGAGGATTATGTAACAAATCAACTCTTGAATTCTTATGGCATATTATATTTATGTCATTTCAATGAAATGTTACAGCGTACGAGTTCTCCGTCTATTAGCATCTTGTTGATAGCACAGCCTGATTCTTCATGCATGAGCTCTGCATGCTGGTACGTACTGTACTGTTCATAATGTGAAACCTCCAAGGATTTTGTCTGTGCTCCATCCACCGTTTCATTCATCTTTTATCACTCAGCTTTGTTTACTCTCTCCCTATGGTCCTTATTGAATAAAGTCCAAAAGCTGCAGATTTGCACTTTACATCCTGCCAGTTCCCACACCGCTGCACCACATATTTAAAGTGTTGCATTCTTGTGGAGGAGATGTTAGTGCAGCTGCGTCAAGATAAAACCCTTTTGTACGACCGAGTCTGACCTTCATATGTCCGAATTGATCATGCTAGCATAATCGCTAAAACTTTCTGCCGCTTACCTTCCCAAAGGGATGGCCAGGTAAAAGAAAGAGAGCATCATGGTGCGCTTGTTATTCGTGAACAAGTCTCCGATGATGGTGGGGGAGATGGATGAGTAGCTGGACTCTCCAATGCCCACCAGTCCCCGAGAGAGCACAAACAGCCAGTAGTACTGCAGAGACATATCAAACACTGAATGTTAAAATGTTCACATGCTGGACCTTAGTCATGCTCCAAAGAGTCGAATGAGATCAACAGAGGCGTAGCTAGAATTTTTTTCAGCGGGGTGACCAGGGCGACACAACATTTCACCGAGGGGTGTGTACATTTGTATGCTCGTAACTTCTTCTGTAACTGAGACGTTTTTGTTTTTCATACCATCCGCAATCAAAGTTTATGAAATTAAAAGCACACATATCCGTAAACTCCTTGTGTCTCATGCGCTGATTTGCTAGCTAACAGCCAATCAAACTGACGACTTGTCACCGACAGCCATTTTGCATACCATAGTCAACAACGGCTCAATCAATTCAAATCATATCTAAAACTCACAATAACACAAAAAAAAATCACATAGTACTTCAGAATTCTAAATGTTTCTTTTTTTACGTTTATTGCTGCTTGTAATATTTATGTGTAGGACAAGATTGGTATCTGCATGCATTTGATTTCATGAAACCGTGATTGCGGACAAAGAATGACTTCTCAGCCATGTTAGTTACTTGCTACGGTCTGAATTTTGGTTGACGTTGACTGTAAGAATCAAATGTTCTCTGCTAAAGACAGATAATTTCAGAGTTTGCATTCAGTTTAATGTGAATTTGTTCTTTAAATATAGTGAATGAAAATGTATTGTGGCATACTGCATCCATGTGAAAATGGCAGTAAAGTCACAGGTATTTAAAATTAAGTAAATTTCCCCCCAGATGTGAGGTGGCCAGTGGGGTGGCCATGGTGGGCCACCACATAGCTCCGGCCCTGGAGATGAAGCTATTGGATCAATGCAGGAATGTATCATGGACTGTATGTATTTCATTATCTTTTCCTGCATTTTATTGGCACACTACACCAAACTGATAAATAGTGTCATTAAAAGGCTTAAGGAGTGGTCACATTGGCAAGGGCAGCCGTGTGGGCAACTGTTTCCTTGACAACCCACTCTGTGGAGAGATAGAGGAGGCCTGTGTCTGTAATATGACAGTGCAGCGAAATGCTTTCTGATCGCACTCAGATGTTGCAAACTAGTCGTACAATTAAATGACTAACATTGTGAGAGGGGGACAATTCAACATACTTGTGACTTGTTTGTGTGTTAGTCAAATTTGGAAACAAGCCATATTAAATGTGAGTGAAAATGCTAATTGAGCCAAAAGTGGGAGTCGATATTATTATTAATGGCACTATTTTAGTTTCGTTTTGTAGTGCTGTTCAACTCAAGTGCGTATTGACAGCTGTTTCTAATTCTTGCCGACCAAGAATACTTGATGGCATTATGAACAGTTAAACTAGAGATTATTACAAAAAATATGTGTTCATTTCTGTGTCAGCAGCCATTCTTACTAATTTGATGTCATAAACTCAAGACATTTATTCACATGTTTACTTTCTAAACATACTTTATGACAATGGCACATAATAAGGTGTGTCAGAAAAGTTCCAGGATTAGCATCAAAAAAGTTTTGTAGTGCTGTTGACCTCAAGCGCGTATTGACAGCTGTTTATAATTCTTGCGGACCAAGAATACTTGATGGCATTATGAACAGTTAAACTAGAGATTATTACAAAAAATATGTGTTCATTTCTGTGTCAGCAGCCATTCTTACTAATTTGATGTCATAAGCTCAAGACATTTACTCACATGTTTACTTTCTAAAAATTGGTGTGTCAGAAAAGTTCCAGGATTAGCATCAAAAACGATATATTATGAACATTTGTACTACAAACTTCAAGTTTTCCACTTGCAAGTATCCCCCCCTTGAGTTTAACGCAGTCTTCTCTGCCGCACATCATGCACTCCTGGAAGGCTTCTTTTGGCATCCTCCGCTGCTCCATCATTTATCGGCCATTGTCATGTTGCCCACATCTTCAAAACGGGCCCCCTTGATGATCACTCCCATTGGGGGAAAAAAAAATCACGCAGAGCCAGTTCAGGTGAAGACGCATTTCTCACCGCCAGGAACTGTCAGATGCTCAGGACATTGTAAGCAGACAGGTTGTCATGGTGAAGCAGCCACAACTTGTCCTGCCACAAACTCTTGCCTGTTCTCGTGCACTGAACAAAGCAAGTGATCTTTTTTGTTGACTGGCTGGTTGATCATCTGGCCCACATCGAAGGTGAAAACTCATCGTTTTTAGTTAAGTTTGAAATATATCTTTTGGAACACCAGTCCTGGAACTTGAATGAGGTGCTGCAATAGCATTTTGTTCCATTTATGACTTTAACCCGTTGAGGGAGAGCGGTTACGACAGTGGACATCTTATCATGTTATTAGGTTGTCATGATTGGTGCATGAAAGGGTTAAGTTCCTCTCGGTCTTATTGGATCGGCATCAGAACAGTTCTCAAAGATGGAGACTTGAAGAGTCTCGGGACCAATTCCTGAATTCAACCGCAGCACTTCTCAGGAGGGAAGAACCACTTAATTTCATCTCAGCCTTAAGTCGCCTGACTGCATTTGCCGCTCAGGCAAATAAATGACTGTCATCTTGTTGCGGAGTGGTTGACACCCTCCTGAGAGCCATCGGCGCGCACACACGCACACACATCTCAATGTCTGCGCTGTCATTTGTTCCACAGCTGAAGAGACTCTGCGGGGAACTCGGCACTCACGGAAGACTAGAAAGCGGTCAAGCCAACGACGCTGCTTTGCAACGCTGCCATATGCTCGGAGAAATTGAGTGGTTCGGCTTTTCAGGCTGCGTGTGGCTGCCAGTCAAGTTGTGTTATAATGGCAGCATGTTAGCCCTTTTCATTACCTTGGACGCGGAGGTAATGTGGATTTGTTTGCGTGCGTGGGTGACCTTCCATCTGCAATACTTCTCTGGAATTTTTATGACCTGTGCCTGTTATTTGAGGAATGTTGCCTATTTTGATAAGATACACATTGATTACATGAAAAAAGGCAAGATTTCAAATCATACAGAAAAAAGTGTTGTTTTTTTGTTGTTCCAGTTAGAAATAAATATTATCCATGATTTCCACATTTAAATTTAGCATAATTAGATGCTTAAGTAAGATATCAAATCATACAGAAAAAAAATGTTTTTTTTTTGTTCCAGCTAGAAATAAATATCCACGATTTCCACATTTAAATTTAGCATAATTAGATGCTTATGATATGTATAGCATAGTATATCTTTCATTCATTCATTTTCCGATCCGCTTATCCTCATAAGGGTCATGGGGGGTGCTGGAGCCTATCCAACCGTCATCGGGCAGTAGGCGGGGGGCACCCTGAACAGTTGCCAGCCAATCGCAGCCGTCTTTCATTTTGACCACTTTTACCCTTGCTTTCAGCATCAGAGCTCTTCTTGTCTGAGCTGCTTGACATCCAAAGGTCCGTTTTGGAGCATTTTAGCAATGCAATGTTCCTGCTGCGTCTGAAACTAACAATAACAAATACTTCCTGGACTACTGCGCATGTGTAAACCAGTGTGGTGTATATATATATATATATATATATATATATATATATATATATTTTTTTTTTTTCTTTTTTTGTCAGATCAGTAAGTAATTTGTTGTTTAGTATCTTCAAGTGAAATATTGCTTCATTATTTTAGCTATTAATGATACTCACTGAAATACCCAAGTTTTAGAACACCTCCATTTTAGTTTTTTTTTTAACTGAAATGAATGCAGGTTATTGTCTCATTGTACTGAGTTTCACATTACAAATGAAATCATCAAGTCATTCCTTGAACCAAAATGTATTTTCAACTTCTTTTCTCTCGCACTTTTATCAGAGACTTAGCAATGTTGTCTGCACACACACAATGCCTTTTGCTCTGCAAGTTAATCTCACCCTGTAATTGCCCCCTGAGAGTCGTGTTATTGTTGAATGCGCACAAAGGCTCGTTGAGATCCCGAAACATAACTGTCAAGGGGTAGCCAAACTGCAGTCTTATCTTCTCCGAAGTGTTGCAACCGAGCCCCTAAGCGTCAGCCTTTGTTAATTGGATGGAGGGCAAAGATATCAAAAATGCTAACGCAGCGATGGCAAAAGCGGGAGTCTCGCTCAACAGGCGTGTCATTTCATTTCCCCAGTTTCAACAAAAAGCGTATCCACGTTAATGAGCTTGTCTGTGATACGGACGAACACGTGCTGCCATTGTTCCCGCCGCCTCGACGTACCTCTTTGCTGATGAAGGAGCTCAAGAGCGTCACGGTGGACCAAAAGAAAATGCCGCAGCTCAGGATGGCCTTCCTATTAAAGCGATCGCCCAGGTAACCGAAGATGGGAGCTGCCACCATGAAACTGCAGATGAACACTGTCCAAGGAGAAAGAAATGACAAAATGAGAGAAATGACTTTCTGAGAAAGATGAGTGTCTGTGCCCTGACAGAAGAACGGCAGATTATTTCCCACTGGCCATCAATAATTGCTCTCACGTCTTACGACTGCACAATTTGCACATCGCGGTGAAATTCACATTAGTGCTTCAAAACATGTTGACTAATTGCTCCACTGAAATGAGGCCTCCTTCTCTGGGATTTTAGTCAATATTTATGGGCAGGGCCGTACCCGCGCAAATAGATCTTGCAGATTTAGCATTTTTAATCCACTCACACGCTGACTTTTGAGTCTTTGTAGCGTAGAGAGGGCAGAGATGTTGCTCTTGACAGCAGTGGGAGAGCCACGGAGGCAGGCTGCTGTTTTGACACATTGTCAGCATAAAGATGAAGAGGAGGGCTGGTGGTGGGGGTCCGGGGAAGAGAGGTAAAGGGGGGTGGGGGAAGCACGTTATATAAAATACACACAGCCCAGCCTCACCGAGACTCGGCAGGATAAGGAGAGGAATCCGATTATGTCAACATGTGATATGGCATGAAAATAAATAGATGTCCTTTAATAACCTTCCATTAAAAAAAAAAAAAAACAAAAAAAAACAGCATTAGTGAGGTATGTCCATTAACAGTACTTTGCTATCCAAACAATTTTCCCCATTGAAAATTGCTTCAAATGTCACTCATCTGTTCCGGCCCGTCAAAATCAACAACATTTTTGCATTGTATTCTTCATTCATTCAATCTCCGATGATTCTCACAAGGGTCGTGGGCGTGCTGGACGAAAATATGAAAACATACAAGCAGATTGTAAAAAAATCTGCCTTTATGAAGTGTAATTAAGATGAAAGTCACGCACCCACTGCAGTAGGTATTGATGCGTGTGTGTGTGCCTCGAGTGGGCGTGGTCTCCTGAGTGACATCATGATCTCTGACTCCAGCTCAGTTTGGCTACTGATCATGCCGCCAGTTTATAGCATTTTGTGTTATGTAGATAGGTGGCATTTAGATTTTACATAATATCTTCTCCATGCACATTGTGAGTGTTTTCATTCTGTATTTCAGTTTGATTGATTCTCACATTAGATCAATTGAAAGTACATCAGTGAATATCACTCTCCTATTTCATTTCACTTTCGTATCTGAAGTTTGCGAATTCAAATGGTGGCGCGCAGCACAGAATGAAAGTCAAAGTATCACTGTATTCAAATAAAAGACCTTTTTTTAATGAAAAGTGTTCACGGCAGGCATCCCCAATATTCCACCTCCCGGTTTTTGTCTTTAATTTCCTGCTTCTTTATCCCACTGGTCCGTCTTCAACATCATGAAAATGTACAGCATGGCTAAATGGTGTAAGGTGATTGTGTCATGCTTAATGACTGCAACCAGCTTTCCCAATTCAAACACACACACACGCACACGCACGCACACGCACACACACCAGCTGTTAGATGTGAAGTAGGGGCCAGAGAGCATTAGTCGCTGTTTAGCAGCTTGTCAAAAACACCCATCTTATCATTTAATAGGATGATTTGTAATCATTAACAAGGCATCATATCGCCCTGTGTGTCTTGATTTTCCGTGTCTTTGTCATTTGTTGATTAGATGATGAGATAAGATATTTCTAACGTCTCATTATCCCCTCGTTGCAAAGTCTGCACGTCGCAGCAGACACCGGCGCCCTTGACATTATGCTTGCAATTATTCAGTGTTAACCTTCTTAGTTGTTTTTATGCTCTGATTTCAAAACACAGCATGAAACCTTGAATTTGTGTGATTTGTCATAGGAAAACTGCCTGCTCCGGTGTTGCCATTGATTGGTTTTCAGTCTACGTGTAGCTCAATCTAACATGCAAATTGTCACAGCGGGGTTATTTTTGAAATAAAATCACAGACAATAAGTCACCCTTAGGCAGGCAACATGCATAAAATGCCGCCCGTCCGCACAAGCCACATTCCACGTTGTCCACCTTGCCTTCCTGTTTACTCAATCTAACAGGACACATCCAGTTTGTTTGATCTTAACAAAGCTTTCAGAGCTCAGTCCTGAAATAATCACCAAATCTGAAATAAAAATTGTGAATCTGAAAAGCAAAATGGTCGGACAACCCAAACAGTTGTATGGAAGTTTATGCTGCTGGCCAAAAGAGGGACAAAATATTTTGATTATCTCATGTTGGGTAAAATACCCTCGATTTTTTTGACAAAACTACACTCTACACATGTGACTCTGTATGGAAACAAAGTTCAAATTTACGCAGCTGTATGGTAAATTCAGATGACAGAATATAGTTGCGTATCATACAGCTGTATCCCGACATAATAAACATTAATTCATCCATCCATCCATCCATTTTCGAACCCACGTATCCTCACAAGGGTCGCTGGACAATAATTCATCTAATGGAAATAATTGTAAAAGTAGGTCGTTCCTGGTCAAGGGAAAAAAAATTCTAAAGTACCGTATTTTCCTCATTATAAGGCGCACCTAAAAGCATTCAATGTTCTCAAAAGCTGACAGTGCGCCTTATAATCCGATGCGCCTTATATATGGATCAATATTCTGATTTCTTGGAGTAGAATTTTAAATGTTCTGTCAAGCGCTTTGTTACAGTTGCAGCGGTTGTGAAAGCGCTATATAAATAAATGTGTTGTGTTCCCTTTAGGGTAGCTCCATCTAGTGGATGCAGAACACAACCTCAGCCACTATTGTAGCTTCTATTCTATGCGCCTTATAATGCGGTGCGCGCTATATATGAAAACAGCCGTTCATTGAAGGTGCGCCTTATACTCCGAAGCGGAAATGGTGCGGAAAATACAGTAATTCAATGAGTAACCTATAAAAGATTAAGATCCGTTCTTCTTATTTATCTTGGTAGAAAAAGTCCCTTATACTCAGTGACACGTGATAATCCAGTGAGATAAACAAAGATGAGTGTCACACCTCTTCCGATAATGCTCCTCCAAATGTCATGCATGCTTGTAAAAGCAACCAGTGTAGAACATTCCATGCCCGGCAAAATGACTGTATGCTCGCTGTCTTGATGGACATTCTAATGAATACACATGGAGTCGGTCATTACTTCACCTTAATCTTGGAGAAAAACAATTTACTCTTTGAGTCGATTGATCTAGTTGGACTTGCAATGACTTTTAATTGAGGCATTTAAACACACAGAGAGATGCTTCTATACAGAAAGCACTGGAAATCCAGCTCTTGCTTCGATTGGTTCAACAAAACCTCACGAGGTGACTCACCCCTTTGAATACAAGTGAATAGAGTGAGCATCAGGAGGAAATACAGACACGATTGTGCTTATATGAATGCGTTGAGGTGTGTTCTGTTTATTCACCAAGGCGCGTGCACACACATTTGCCTGTGAAACATGAGACTGAATAGAAGCCAGAACCTGCGAAGCTAAATATTTGGTTGTGTGATACCCAAACTTTTGTAATGTGTCTGCTTTGAATGAGACTATTTCAAGAGGAGAGCTTGTGCTTGTACAAAAAGGCAGTGATTTAGTTTGGAAAAAAAAAATGCGGAGGTAGTCAACACAAAGGGACAAGCATTATGCCGCTTCCAGACCTTTGATGTCGAAAAGATTTGTTTGAGCGGTTTCTGCTCAACTGCTTTTATGTGCTGGTGAAACTGCGACACATTTGATTCTGTATAAAGGAGAATAATACAACCACAGATATATTGTACGTAACGAGAAAGGCGCAGACCTCCGCCGAGGTGGAACGATTGTGATCTGCCTATCAACACAAAAATCTAATGTGAAGGAAGTTTTCTTTTGACACCGTTACGATTGAAAGGTGCATTGATGAAAACCTATTCAATAAGAAAATAGTATTGACATTTGAATCTATCATACCACCAATAGAAAATACTCAACTTGCAATGTGAAGGGCTCTCATTGGTGCAGTTTGTGCAGTTATGCAAAGTGACAGTTTCATACCTTGTGCTGGATAGTGTGGTAACGTGCGTGTGAGACCATAACATCTGAAATCAGCCTTGTGAAAGAAAACAGTGTGGAAAGAAAAAAAATTCCTTTATCCACATTTTCCGTTCCATTTTTTTTTTTTTTTTAAATAACCGCAGCAACATTTAATGGTTCCCTGCGAGGCACACACCACCGATCCACAAAGTTTCATGGAAATCAGTCAGGCCGTTCTAAAGTAGCTTTAACTGGCTAATAGACAAACCAACATTAACAGTGGTGAAAAGAGATTACTTATATAGGCCTAAAAGGCAATAATTTAATATGACCTTAATCCTGAAACAAATCCGAATAAATGTCATTGTTTTATTGTCTCAAATGACTGCTGTGAAAAAGGGATCGGTAAAATAATCACACTGGTCGTGGCTGTAGAGCTTTGACCATCTCCCACGGTAATTGAAAGCAGCGTGCATCTGTCAGCTGTGAAACCTGACAGTCAGGACGGTCAAACGAAGGGTGGACAGCTGAAGGAATTTGACCGTTTAGGCCGGAGAGAGACACAATGTGAGAAGTAAAGAGGGGCACGCGCAATAATATGCAGGTCGGTACATGTCCGCAGGCTAGAAGGTGTCAATCAGTCCCATTTTTAGCCACATTGTCTCGTTCACAGCCTGTTTCTGTGTCAGTGCTTATCCCATCACACATTCTTCCATGAATACCGCAGCCTTCCACGCTTGCAGTCGTTACAAGTTGATCAGCTTGTGGCGGCGGAGGTTGTTTGTCTGAATAGAAAATTACGTCTGTTTTGTCTCTATAATGATATGTGTGACTCTGCCCTCACTTTTGCATTGTTTCTTTAAAAAAAAGTTGGATATCCGGCTTGGACAACTGGAGGCTTGCGATGAATTTGATTAAATTTCAATTTTCATGTGATTAATCCCTTCCCCCTTTGGATCCCACAATTTTTTGAAAAAAATCTATATATAATTGGGGGGGGGGGCAAAGCATAAAGATGTTTCCTCTACAGCAGTTAAAGTTCTAAAA